CGGCCCTTAGGGAAGCCAAAAGGAAGCTGTTGAAACAATATTGGTACTGCCCACTGCGATACCGATGGAGGGCCTTCTACACAAACTGTCCTTCAACAGGGGAGATTCTGTACCAAGCCCTTCCCTGAATCCTGTTTCACCCTCCCACCAACTAACCTGGAAGTGCACAAGCACCTTTTCCAAGAAGACAGTAGTCTTTCTACAGGGGTCTGTGCACTTCCATGTTAGTCGGTGGAAGTTTTAACATGTTTCAACCATCGCCCAACTGGAAAACCCCGAGCGACGGGCCCAGCGACCGCGGGCCAGTGCCTGTGCATCAAGTTCGGCTTCCAGCTGCCCGAGAAGCCCTGGGCTTCGCGGCAGAAATGGGCGGGCGGATTCAAGTTGACCTGCAACAAGGGGGTGTTTCGTCTTGCTAGCTGGTGGTTGGAGGGGAGCCAAGGAGCTGGGGGTATCCAATTTTGCTTTTAAGGAGGGATCGGGTGTCCTGTAAGGGTATTGTGGCTTGTTAAAGTCAGCCAACAGCGATGTTTTTGCCTAATCAATGAGCAGGCAAAGGAGAAGGAAGCAGGTTTGTCTCTCCCAGGCAATGTAGCCAAGATGCAGCAAACCTGTGTGTGTGTGTGTGGTTCGGTCAAAACATCTAGTTCTCATTGGTTCATTTGAGAAGACTATTGCCACGATCGTCGGCTTTAGCCATTCCCGTTGCCTACCCAGCAGGGAATTGTGCCATCCACTTTCACCCCTGGCCGCAGTTTGGTTATGGGGACCCCGTAAAATCCATGTAAACCCAACGACATGCTTCCCCAACTCCCATCCTTTAGCAAACTATTCACTTTTGGGGGGGTTCCTTCCACGAATGAGGGTAGTACCCAGTTTGTGCTTCCCTGTCAGCCGAACTTTCGGCCTGGTTCCAGCCGACAGTCGATGGCACCCTGATCTATAGGTAGCATCATCTGCAAGCGACGATCAATACAAGCGTGTACCGATTGCGTGGCAACATTCTTTAGAGAAAATGGTTTGGCAGGCCCCCCAAGTCAAGTTCAATCTGCTTGATCTCTACCCCTTCCAGGTGTTTCTAAGAATTTGTGACCATTTTTGAGCAAAAGGAGGCCAACTGGAAACCCGTCACAGGGGATCCGTAAGTTTGATGAAATGCCCGCAATTTGCAGAACCCTTTTTGATGAAATGCCCGCAATTTCTGGAACTGATGTGGAATTAGTCCGGCATGGTACCAGGTGTAACGGCGTTCCCTCTTCCCGGATATTCTGATTGAAACCCATTTTGACCAATGCTTGGCCCAGTAGTTCCAGCTACCGCTATCAACCAGGATTTCTCCTCTAGGTTTTACCCTGAGCATTTCACTCGGTGACCTACAGGGGTAAATGGGTGTGTCTTCTCTTGAGGGTAGACCGGTTTTGGTTTGTTGAAAAGGAAGCCAAGAGGAACACCACCTTTTTCTTTGGGGGGGTGCCCAAAAAAGATGCACCCACATGGAATCATGCGCCCTCGCCCAATCTTCGGCCGAGATCGTTTGCTGCGGCAAGCGCCTCTTGGAGGGCTGAGGCTTTTTGCGCACAGACGACCCTGCACTGTCCTTCGTTGGAGATTCTGCTGCATCATTTTTGAGCTCCGAAACTATATAGTAAGGCATACTTGATATGATCCAGAATCAGCAATTCTGTTTTCCTGCACCCCAGATGTGGGCCAAAACTTCCCTGAACAAATCATAACGAGCTCACCAATTCGCGGCTGCGAGGGATTCCAGGCCCCATATGGTCCTCTGGCAGTTCCTGTCCAGAACCAGAGTTTCCCCACAACCCGAAGGACAACCCGAAGGACATCAAGGTTTCCTGTGGCACCGTTCTACCTGATCTTTGTAACCGTCGCCGAACCGATCCGGGCAGGAAGGCTTTTGGAGGTTGTCAGTCTATTTTGGGGCTGGCTGGTGTTTCGGGGGCACAAAACGACTGTCTGCCAACCCTCCACAAATCCCCAAGACAGGGGGGTTCATGATCACGGGTGGGGGGACATATATATATATATATGTGTCTGTGTGTGTGTGTGTGTCTGTGTGTGTGTATGTATGTTTCCTACATGTATGTGTGTCGCATAGTTTGAACCCATTTTGGTGGCGGTGGTGTTGTTGGCGCTCCATCAGCAATGCAAAGATTTGGGCAGAGAAGAAACTTGCTATGGTGCCACGCTGCAGCTATGGAAGGTTACCAAAGACTCGCGGAAGTGCTGTTGTCAGTAAGGTAAGCAAACGAAACCCGTCGCGGAAGCCATTTGCATAAATCCGGCATCCAGCGGCAGTTCATGCTGCGGAAAATGGCGGAACCACTTGCTGAAGGTACCCCTGGCCAAAGCTTGGCGGAAGCTTGACACGGAAGTGCGTCCATTCAATCTTGAAGGGAAAGCCACCGCTCATTTGTTAAACCCATGTGCCACGGGCGAAGCGCTGCTTTAATTACTTGGGACGGGCATCAGCCATCGTAAGGCATCCAAACAGAACCATGACCATTGCCATTCGGGAGTTTTGCTGGCACATGCAGGGTCGAACTTAAGGCACCGCCATGAGTCATGAGTCATGGGCATTCTCAATCAGAACGCCCCTTTCCTTCTCCAAACGCGTGCTCAGCGCTCAGCTACAAGAATTGCCGCTTGCTCAGAGGACCTCCACCGAGGGCTGTGGCATGGGAAGTTAGGTCGCGGCGAGATGGGGCGAACCTGCACCACGCTGGGCCAGATTCATTCGAAAGCCATCGGTCTCCCAGGAAAACAACAGCTGCTTGGCGTGTTTCTCTCTCCCTCTCTCCGTGTGTCAGACACCTCAGACAGCTCCCCACAATTCCCCTGCTTGGTAGTTTGGACCATGTTGAAGCTGTTTTCTGCTATATAGGCGTGATGTTTAAGGCTAAGGGCAAACAAGGACTTCCGACCTTTAGCATCGCTCGTTTTTGCTTGGCCCATTCGAAAGATGCGAAAGAGTCTGCCTAAGATTTAGCATGGCACCATGTGTCTCTTTCTTTTCCATGTCAGTTTCCCTCCAAACATGGTCGACCCCACAAAGGGTACTCTTTCTCTGCCAGAGTCTCTGGACAACTGCCATGGCTAAATTGACCGAGCCCCATGTCCGTGTTCGATGCCTGGATGAGGCCGGCAGGCTTTTGGATTGGCTTTTCCAAATTCAACGGAACAGTAGCCAGCGAGAAAAAAGGAGCGGTGGGCGAAGTCACAGCGACCCTACCCCGGAGACCAATGCAGCGGTTGGCGGGAAAGGCCCTTGGGATTTAATACATATTGTCTCTATGTTGACGAAGGAACCTCACATGTTATGGCATGCGGTGGGTTTAGCACGTGGTGACTTGGTAGGACCTTAGGAGGGGTACCATGCGCTAGCAAGGCGTTCTTGTTGCCTCGGGAAAATTGGCGAAGATCAAAGGATACTTGCCCTCCCGAAGGAAGCTGACAGCAGGTTCCAGGAACATGGTCCAAACCAAGGGGTTTTTCGGGGGTGTTGTCTTGCTAAGCCTGGGCGCCTGATTTTGTTTGGTTTGCTTCAAGGTGTAGTTAGGGCGAAGGATGGGGCAGAACATGATGCAGGGGGTTGTTCGAGGGAAGCCTTCATGATAAGCTTGTTGGAGGAGTCCCTTCTTTTGCACTTAAACTAGGGCAGCTTTTGCACGAATGTCGAGTGTGCATTCATATTGAGCAATACCTGGGACCTGCATAGTGTGGGTGTGTGTGTGTGTGTGTTAAACTGTTTGTTTTCTGCTTCTTTTTTGCCCGGAAATAACTACTTGTTCCGATTTGCCGGCGCTTTTCACATTTGCGAGCACTTGTTTGCAATCATGTGTGCCTTGGGACACGCTGCCCGCTCCAGGAAAACTGGGGAAGGAAGCTAGGGTCCCAAAAGCACTTTGCAATCGAAACAGTAGGTTTGAAATGAAACGGCAAACAAGTGCACTTTGTCAGCACGATCAAATTTTGTAAGTTTACAAGAGTACTCTGGCTGCAAAGTTAGTGCACATGTCGGCAGTGCTTGACGTGCAGAGCATGTTCCATGCTTGCCTGTACAAGGCTTGTCCGGAAGCTTTGTCTCATGAACTACGTTGACTTGTGAGCAGGAGGTGGTTGGGGAGATTCTCATCTTTCAACTCAGCTACAGGCTGCAGCTTAGCAGCAAATATGTTTTGCAAACATCAAGGGGCCATGCACGGTCTGTTAGACGCTGCAGAAGTGAACACGGGAGTGATGATAAACCCACTCGGAAGAAGCCCCCCACGAAGCGAAGACGCCTTCCATCCCTGCAAGGATGCTATTCTGATTTGGGTGCCCCCTTTCCAACATGGAAGTGGACGTTTAAGAGGCCTTCTTTAGATAATGGTAGTGCAAAGCGCATGCATGTTCATGGATTGGACAGGAGTCTGTCTATGAGCAAGAAAGAAAGACCAGTGCATCACCTTGAATCTTTTGTGTCTGGAATTGGCACTGAGCATTTGGAGGAATCGGTTGGTGTTCGTCGTGATGTATGCTTCTGAGGGCGCTGTCAGCAGGCTTCATTGCACTGCTTAAATTCCGTTGATATTGCAAGCAGGGAATTAGGGGTGCCCTGGAGAAACATACCAATTAACATACCATAGTTTGTGATTGGTTTTCTCAGGGTTCCGTCTACTAAGTTGCTTATTTCGTCATCAACTTTGGGCTGCCAATCTCAACAGGCTGGATTGAGTTTTATTTGGCCAGGCGACGTTTCTTTAACAAAACCCTGTACATGGTTGCAGTAAAGAACAGGCCTGTCTTGGGGACCCTGCAGACCAACCTCCGCCACCAAAGTTCAGGGGTTAAAAAGCCCAAATACAAGGCCGAAGAGCACCCAACTTGTCCGGATGTTTAGGCGCCATCTGCTCACCAGCTATTTTTTAACGAGCTCAGACTAATTGAAATCATCAGGGTTGCTCCGAACCTCATGGCACAAAAAATGCGCGCGCGACCTGGTTCATTTTTGTTGTCCCTTTCCACTCGCCGCGCTCACAGCACGACTCGAGTCTTCCCGGCTTCCGATCCACGCCATGTCCGCCCCCGTGCCTCAGGCACGGAGTCGGAAGGCCTCGTTTCGCCGGGACGTGCCGCGAGTTGAGAACTCAACCACAAAGGCCGCCCGATTAGTTTTTCCATGACTGCGTCACTGGGCTCGGAGAAGTCGGAAACCGGCCGGCCTTTTAGGGGACACCAGAAAATTTGAGACGGGGGGTCTGATCTGAGGGGCTCCAGGTTTTTGTTTGACGCATTCGCTTCGTTGCACTTGAGGTGATGGAGGCTGAGCCACCTGGCCGCAACGGAAATGTTGGCAGGTGAAGGATAGAGGGAAGCCCGGGCAACTCGGTTCTTGAGTTCCTGGACTTTAGCCACTTTTTTGGGGGAAAAAACGAGTTTGGTAAATGCAAAGTTTGGGCTTTTTCCGGCACATCCACTCAGGAAGTAAAAGAAAAGGTGGCCTCCTTTGGGTTTGGGAAAGGCAACTCCAAGGAAAGCCCGACTGGAAGCAGTACAATTTGCTCGCCACTTGCGGCATGGAACATGGAAGGGCGCTTTTGGACCTTGATGTCCATGGAAGAAAATTGGGTCTTCTTAAGGCACCTTGAGACCTTCTGGATTTTCCTCAGATCTGGACACAGATCAGGTGAAATGCTAATCCAGGGACTTGCAAGGCAACCAGCATCACATACCCGTAATTCCCCAAACAATTCCCAAGGTTCAGGTTCCAAGGCTTGATAAGCCTGAAGGCAATATAAGCCCAAATCAGGCCTCAGGCCTTGTTTGGGGAGGTCCAGGGTCCCTGACACCAGGCCTTGCTTCAGATATACCGCGCTGAAGGCTTTTGTTGGCACCCCCTCGGCTCGGGCGAGGACCCTCTCGGACGTCGAAGTCACAGCCCCGTCCCAGCTGAAGGCGCGATCAACTCGCTGGCGACCAATGGCAGGTCAGTGGCATCCTCTGACTCTCTTTTAAGGATTGGTGGGATCAGGACCCAAACATGGCGAAGCTCTGAAAAGCTCTCCGACCAGAGTCACTGGGAAACTGTTGTTTTTTGTTTGCACGCCAACTTCGAATTGGAGGACTTAATTGTGGATGGGAACCCTCCTTTGGGTGGGGTAGTAGTTCGTTGTGAGGTGGTTCCTCTGAGTGGTGTGGTTATCCTCGTTGAATTCCAGTTAACAGTATTGCGGCGATCTGTTGCCGGTTCCTTTCATGTCCCCTAACATCGCCCAAACGAAAGGGAACTCAAGAGCCGAAAGATGATGCCTCTGCCGCGGCAGGTACGATTGCTGATTCTCAAATGATTGACAATTGTTTGTGTACAATATTTACATTTAAACGGAATACCTATTTATATACACACTGTATCTATGAGATTAGGGAGTATCACCGTCTAGATTTGAGGGTAATATGGACCGGTGACCGGTTTGCAGTCGAATGCAACTGTATTTACCAGTCACGTGTTTACTTTCTGGGAGTCATTCAATTACAAGGCCCATGTTTTCAGAATCTTGTGTGTGTTGTTCTGCTCAAGTACATCACTCGTTTTCTCTTTTAGCGGAGGTGTTGACCCAGGGAATGAACGGCAATCCCACGCATCAGCTCGCATCAACCGCGGTCTGTCCGTTTCCATCGCTCAGATGGACGACCCGCAGCACGGGGCCCTCTACGCCTACAGCACTTTGGGCGATGGCGCCTCGAGTCGCACTTCGGGCGGTTTTTGGAATCCCATGATGTCCATAGGGTTAAAGGGCTCCCCTTGAAATGTGCCTCTTCTAGTTGTTCAAGGTGAATTATGATTGTCAGACACTTGTTGGCTTAAGACTTTTTCGGTTAGACTTATTGAATTAAGAAAATCACTGTTTAACTATGTTGGTTTTAAAAAAGACCATGGTCATGACTTGTCAACATGTTCTACGCTTGGTCCACTGAAAAGCGCAGCTGGGCAGCCGGCCCGGGCCTTGGACCTGCACCATGGGTTTTCTTCCATGTGGTGTCCCTTTGCACCAACCGCTGACCCCAGAACCCCCAAAAGAAGCACACCTGTTGGAATCGCGACCTTGCCCAGCCCTGGGGGAAAGGGTCGTCCTTGAGCTCCATGTTGAAGGATCTCGTTCATAGGGAGCCCTTTGTTCGGTTTGGTGAAATGCGCATTTTGTTTTCATCGGAAAGCTGATATGTTGCAGGACGGGGTTACGTCACTCGTTTGCAGATCGCAAGCGGGCCACATTCCCAGATGGCTGTTCTTGCATGAACGATGTGAACCGCTTTGTCAGAGTTTTGCATGCAGATGTCGTCCTGGTTGTAGTTGGTTTGGCTCATTGAGCAACATGATGTGTTGCAAGTTACTTATGTTTACCGGGCCAATGCAGCCTACACGGTGAGCGATGGAGAGTGGATGCTGGACTCCCTCATCCTTTCTTTCTGACAGGCTCTTCTTGTGTAGAAGCTCTGTTTACAGGCATCCCTCTTACCTAATTTGAATCTAAGCGGTTATCGACTTATATATTTCATTGCAATGGGCCTTGCGTCCTGCGCCTCAATCATCAGCGGTCTAGATCCCACTTGCGCATATGGGTTTCCATGTCGCAGCCGCTTGCGTGTTGCCTTGTTTTTCTGGCTATTATCAGTTATACAGGAAACAACAGGTGAAAGGAGGGATTTGGGTGTCAGTGCGTTGTCATCAAGGCGCACTTTCTTTCCGATGACACATCCACGCCCAAGCCGTTCAGTTGTTGCTTTTGTTTCTTTAGCTGATGGAGATCAACGCTGGATGGCAGGGATGGGCAGACCACAGGACCGGTAGCAATCAGCAGTAGGTGATTCAGCCTTGTTCGGGGCCCCGAAATTCAACTTTCTCGGGAAGGTGAGGGGTCTGTCAATTGGGGCCGTCAGTTTGACACCTTTCGCCCGTATCAGTCTTCTTGGCTTCTATTTGGTTGGATCTTCAACCTTGACTTTTGAGGGAACAGCGGTTTTTTCCCCACTAGCCCACAAGTAAAACTTGTTGCTCGGGCGAAATCGCGACCTCGATTTTTTGCGGCGAGGCGATCAGAAGGCTCGCTCAGTTCGACGCACAAACCGGACGTTCGCGAGCTGAGGTGCGATGCCGGTTTCAGGCGCCTCGGCACATCGGATTTGGGTCCTTTCTCGAAGATGGGCCAAGTGAAGCCGTAGGGAACTGTAGGCAATTTGGGGATCCGGATCCCACTTTTGACGAACATCTATAGGCAAATTCCAGCGATCTCACGAAGGGTTGCGAAGTTCCAAGGTTTTTTCTAGGGGGTTTGTCCCTTTTCGCTTTTTGTTCAATAACAACCCTGTGAATGATCCTGGTGCCCTGAAGCCCAGGGTTTGCCAAGGGAACTCAAGCACCCGTTTCCCCTTTCGGCGTGAATTATGAGTGAAAAACAAGACCAAGCTGCAGACTTGCGCATGAGCGCGGGGGGAAAAGAAACACGGGAATTCACCTTAGGCGACTCCATGTACTCCAAGCTCTGCTGCGTCACTGCGAGCATCGGGGACCTTGCTGGTCAGGCCATCCGAACATGGAAGGTTTAAGAAACCCGTTTTAAAAAAAGGCGCCCCCCTGAAGGGAACCATGACCATGACCCACAAGGGACTTTTGATACCGGTTAAGTGAAGGTTGGCAAAAATTCCAAGGTCCATATGTGCGGGGGTTCGGGCCAGCGATCGGGTTTCAGGTCATGATCGGAGAGGAGACGAAGTTCTGCTGCATCGAGAGCCAGGCAACTCGACCTGCAACCTGTTTTGAGCTCAGGAAACATCAGGAAACCGAAAGGGCATGAATATGATCTTTTTCTGTTATACCGCCCCCCAAGGGCGTAAAGGATTTTCTACGGTGGTGGCCACAGGGGCCCCAGTATTGCTTTTGGTTGTCCTTTCAGGGAGCATGTTTCTGGCTTCGGAGCACCTCTGACTGGTTTTTGGTGAGCCAGTGGCGGGGTTTGTCTTTCGGATAGGAACGGGCAGCATTCGCCACTGGAAGGGTCACACTCACCAGACCTTTAGCATCTTAGGACATGGGGTGTTCCTGCAAATCGCCCCCAAACAAGCGGCCCACCCGGGGGTGGGGGTCGGTGTTCTCCTGAAACACGGGAGCTGACACCCACATGAGACATTACCCTGCGAAGAGACCCGTATACAACACTTCCCGTTTGGAGACGAAGCTGAATAAGACATCCCCCCATTTGGAGATAAACTCAATCCCAAAGGATGTCTTTCTTTGTGTTGAGGGTACTTTTGGGATTGTCTCGAAACATGGAATCTAACCGTTTCGGGGCGGGGATCCAAATTGAGACGAACACAGGTCAGACAGTTTCGGGAAGGGACATGCGGGATAGCTGGCACCACGGAACTGGGACCAAGTTGCTTCTGAATCGGGCGAAAGCCGCGCGGAGTTCCGGGAATGGACTCCGGAGCTTGGACTAGTTCTTGTTTTAGTTTGGTCACAGCTTCGAGTAGTCCTTCGAACAGGCCTACGGAGCCCTCCCAAGAAGCTTGTCTCAATGTCATCCGGAGTTTTCTCGAAGGAATCTGTCAGCAACAGCTTCCTTTTTATTTCCCTGCCAAAAGGGGCTAGTTACTCCAACAAAAGCGGCTGGACAACCACAAGCTGTTGGTTTCCTTTTGCTTCTATACCATTAGCAGGTCCGAAATCCATGAACCACCAAGAGCTTTTATACCAGTTCAATACCATTTGGTGTCCTTGTGTCTGAAATCCACTACCTTTACCTTTCGGTTCCACCGTTGGGTCTGAAGTCCACGAGACGTCGCGCCTCCCCGAAGCTTCGATCTCGCGGGTCGATGGCTTCCTGAGGCCTTCTGCGGCTTCGGAGGCAACGGGGGCTGCCCGCAGGCCAACTGCGGGTGCCAGATGCCCGGAAGCCCAGCGCTCTTTTTTTTTTACAAGTAAATGACATATATATATATATATATATGTCGGTTTGCGTGGCTTTTTTTGTTGGTTTCGGGAGAGGCGGGGAAGGGTCAAAAAAGCGTTGTGTTTGTGTCCAGCTGGTGGAGCGCCAAGAGGACTTCACTTTGTTTTCTTTCGGGTTTCACCCACCAGGGTGTGGGTCAAAAATGGGGAACCCCAAAATGGAGCGGCAAATGGAAGCAAGGACTTACATATGCAGTCCCCTGGTGTTTTTTGTTTTGCGCCATATCCAGGGCAGACATCTTGATTAGGGAACGAGCCTATCCTGTGACTGGACTGTCAGGTTTCAGAAACTGGATGGTTGAACATGTACGCCTGCAACCGAACACATCAATGGCTCGGAAAATGCCTCGGAGTCTTTGCTGCCCTTGAGGTGCTGCACGGCAATTCTTCAATGCTCTGGGTTACGAAAGAGGGTCCTCTTTATAGTGATTACGCGCTTTGGAATTATGCAGAAGGAGTGAGTGGCCAAACCTTTGTTTCCCGAATAGTCACAGTTTGGAGATCTGTCTGAGACTCACAGAGAGTTGGTGGCTTCAGCCACTCCCTCCTTCCTTCCTGGGTTAACCTCTTGAACCCAAACCGGTGGCTTGACACTCCGCGGCATCCCTTCTATTCATGTGCAGGAGGGTGCTTGAAATCAACCAACAAAGCTTGTCCCAGAATCCGAGGTTCAAGCCAGAGTTGGCTTGCCAGGGAGCGGGCAAGGTAGGAGCCGCCTGAATGTCGTCGAACTGGTTCACGTCTCAGCCTAGTTTGAAACAAGAGCCAGTGGTACGATGTGTGGTGTGTAAGATGCTCAAGAAAAGAAGATCTGGGCAAGGTGTTGTGATTTGTACCAAAAGATGGAACCTGTAGATGTTGGGTCGAGTTCACGCATTTGTTGTTGTGTTTGTGTTGTTCTGTTTAAGATGACAAGGTCAAGCACTCACTGAAATGCCAACTTTGCACATGTTCCGAAGGTTTGAAGGGAATCTTCAACCCCAGGTGTTCAATGCCATCTCTGTCTCGTATATAGTTTGGTTGGTTTCATACTAAAGATTATGAACCCCAAATCTGGTTTCCATTTTCTATCAGGCTTACTGGCAAATGGGTCAACCACCGCAATTCCACATTAAGTCTGCACTGCTTGCAGGTTGTTGCACTGGTCTGCCACGTGTCTTGTGTGAACTTCGACCCGGTATGGTGTATGTGTTGTTGACCAATAGCGATTTTCAATTCAGCCGTTTGGACTGGTTTTGGGTGGTTTGTAAAGAATGATTCGCCTGGAAATGGAAATGGAGCGAGGATGAGCGAGGCTTGCAAGCAAGCCGCTTTCACACGCTTATATGGACAATGCTAATCCCAACCGCATGTCACACCTGTATCACATGTACCAAGCGCTTTGTACCTTCTCAATCCTGAGAAAGAACTAAAAAGGGACCCTCAGGGATGTATTGTTTGAGAGTTGCCACACTTGTGGTGAAGAAGACCCTGCCACCATTCACAGCCTATTCTGTCGTTTGTTTGGGTGGTTTTCAAGCTCATAAAGGACCCCTCCCCACGTTCAGTTGTTTATTTTATACATATATATATATATAATATAATATGTGACTTCCGCAATTGGTTGTGTTGCTTGGGGCCCTTTAAATAGACTGCCAGAAGCCAGCAACTGGTTAACAACATCCACTCAACCTCCAGTTAGCCGCCCTGTAGACCCTACTTGCCTTTAGCTCGGCAACCCCCAGATCTTGTTATTTTGGGGCCTACTCTAGTCATTCAAGAGGTCAAAGTACATCCCCACAGTGCCCGGACCCAAACTTCGAACCCTTCCTTCCTGCGCGACCGAAGGGTTTGGTTATGGGGGTGTAGGCCTCCGTTCGATGGGGCCTATTGGGTGTATACCCTGGAACCCAGAAATTCGCCAGATCCTGTGCTGCAAGCTGGGCTTTCAGCTGCCGGACAAGCCCTGGGCTTCTCGTCCTGGGAAGCGCTTGCTGTGCGTGGGGAGGGGCTTTCTGTTTGGGGTGGGGTGCGTCCATCCGATCGGAACGGAAAGGACCTCAACAGAAACAAAGGGCCGGGCACAATGAACCAAGGAGTCTCTAAGTTTGAGACATCGGACGGACTGGCCTGTCCACTACAGATCAAGCTTCTCAGAGTTTCTTGAAAGGCGTCTGGCTTGCAACCTGTCGCCAACAATACTTTGTGGAAGAAGAGAGATCATGCATGTGTTTGTGTGTGTGTGTGTCAATCTGCTAAGCTTGCTGTTTGCAATGAACTGCGATCGTCTGGAAGCCAAGTGCAGCATGTGCGCCTGAGCTCCGTGGATGGGGCCCCTTGTCTTCCAAAGGTTTGGGAGCTTGGGTCAACACCCTGTTAGGGAGACTGCTATTGAAGACTCCTTTGGGGTTGTAAAACGTCTCTGAATTCTGAACCCCCTGATTTGTTGGTTTCCCTTTGGTTTCCATTTCAAACAAGCCCATTAGAATGAGCTTTCGGGATCTAGTTAGCACTGATCGTGAGACTTGCATCTGGTTACCTTTCGGCACTGTAAGACGACATGAGATCGCGCGCGCCATTTTCGACTGGGCAGGGCCCGGGTGTTGGGGGGACCGACGAGAATTCTCCCAGATCGCATTGACCGCCGTCCAGCGTTGTTGCAGAAAGCTGAAAGAAAACCAGCTATTCTGAGACGTCCTCTGTTAGGCTTACATAGCCTGGAGTGGCTATATATAACAAACCTTGCCGTGCTCACTTTTGGGCATTTGTCGCATTTGCCGGCGCTTCGGTTGGGTTGCTTAGGCTTGGGCCCCGGCATGTCGACATGCCCAAGTTTCTATTCGCTGACTCAGAGACAAAATCAGCGACCCTACCACACGAGCATCCCCTCTCGAAGAGCTTTCCTTCCTGACCCAGCCCCCAACCGGTATGACCTTGAAAAACGTGGCCTCATTCAACCTTATTGCCTTTGGTACAGCTTATGAACCCCCCAACCTTGCGGGCGCGGCTACTTTGTGTTGTGAGAGGTACAGTTTGCAGCGTCCTTGCAAAGATGCCTTTAAACTTTAGGATCAGCCTTCCCTCACCACAAAATGATGAGAATGGATGTCTGGGGTGCTATTGAACCAAGTTACATCATGAGACAACTGTGAAGAAGTATTTGGCCCTTATATTGCTTTAGTCCCGTACCCCAGACACTCCACTGCATCTGGATCCTTGGGGCTTGACCGCATGTGAGTTGTTTGGCTGTATTGCTTTATGTTCATTCAGTACCCCATTGGATATTGAGGTGTAACGTATCAAGACAACTCGAAAACGATTGGCAATGGTACGACCGACCTCACGGCCAAGGAGTTTCACAACAGTCAATACGTGTCATTTGCGGTAGGGCTGTCCTCCAAAACTATGTTACATTTTGGGGTAGATGACACAGAATCAAACAATGCTATCGTTTGTGTACCCCAGAAGTGCAGATGCGGGCCAAGGCAAAGAGGATGATGAGGGGCACACTCACCAAAATACCATGAGGAAACGGGGGGGCCTTGGCACTTGGCACCCCCTGAAAATTCTGTTAGGGATCGTTGGCACATGGTTTTTCTCCAAAAAGTCCCCACTGAAAGCACCCATGGCCCAGGTCGTGTGCTGCCAAAAGCGGATCTTGGAGGGCTGAGCTGCCGTGCGCGAGGGACTTGCGGTTCTCAGTTAGGTCCCACAGAATTGAGTGACTGTATGTCGTGCCCCAGAGATACAGCTCATTATTTTGGAGCTTCCCGCACGACGCGCTTTCGTGTGAACCGGTTGCAACCCTTTCTGCCGCCAGTCCAGGCAATGTCTTGGTTGACGGCACCTCTTTACAGTCTATATAATAGTCTAACTTTGGATTTTATTGGACCGTGCTTGTCAGGGATGGTTCGCTTTGTGGGGCATTCGTTCGTTAGTCGAAAAATCAGTGGGGAAGCTTCCTTTAGTGTTGTGAGGGGTTTCCTTGGATGAGTGTGGCCCAGATGAATCCAAAGGAAGTGCGTACAGAAAAACGCGCTGTGCAGAATGGGAAGTGGGACTGGCGGGCTGTGGCGATTACAACCAAACACAAACAGCTGGCCCTGAAACTTGGTAGAACACAGCAGCATCCGAATTGTTTCCACAAACGGGAATGGAACCTCTCAATACGGTTGGCCATCTTGAGGGGGGGGCTCAACCCAATACGGTTCAGACCGCCTGATCAGGCCGCAATGGCTGTGCTAGATGGTACTGGTTTCACTTGTTGTAGTGGTGTACTAGCATCTTCCGCAATGTTTCCCGCGTGCAACCATCCTGAACATAGGGCTCTCTTCTCAGTCAATTCGGATCAGCTGGCTTTGAATGTTTCATGCGACAGGGACGTGTGATGTATCTGGGCAAATTGTGGTGACCTCACAAATGGATCCAGTTTGCCCAACCGTACCTCCCAACAATGCACTTAGTTTGTAGGGCTCGAAAGTCACATTGCCCACACCTGTGCTTTGAACAGATTTGGGATATGTTTTGCGCAGAAGGGCTTCCGTTGAAAACAGCAAAACACACATTCGCCAAGCCTCCAGTTTTGAGTGGGCCGTTCTGGTGTTTCACGCCCAAGTTGCTTCGAAACCCGGTCAATTCCTAGAAAAGATGTTGAACCGAAATGTTGGGACCCCTTTCATTCCTCCCCTGACCCCTTTCCAAATGCAAATACGCCCTTTCCTTACCTGCTCACCTGGTTTTGGGGAAGGGAAGGTGGCTTGGACTCTGGCCTATTTGTTTCAAGCGATCAGAGAAAAGCTCCTAACCGATGCCCCGCAACTTTTCGGTTGCATCTAGAGATTCGATTTTTTGAGAAACTTGGTCCAGATCCTTCGTGTTGTTTGTCCCGTGTGTTTGTTTGTTGTATTTTGCCCATCGAATGTTCTGGCCAAATCTCGTCCTTCGGCTTGAGTCGTGTCGATCGAACCCCTTCGTTTTCGCTGGTTGCCAGGCATTACTACGTGCTGCTGGCAAGCCGGGCACCGGAGGCCAGAAAGAAAGCGGCTGGTAAAGGAATTGACCACCTAAAATTGGTGTTTGTCCTGTGGTCGAGGAAGTAGTATCGCCAGTTTCAGGACTGCTTGACTGGCGCTGGGTTGATAGAGTTTAGGGGATATAGAGTTGCAGCTTAAATCAACCAACACAATATGTGTTGAAGTTCATGTTTTTGTTTCTTTTTGTGTCAGTGAAGGGGCTGCAAGAAACAGTCCCTGTTTGTTGGTTACGTCCCATGGGAAGACAGACCCTCCCGCAAAACATAGAAGTGCAAAGACCTTTGTCGGAAGACTGGTGTCTTTGAAGGGGGGCCGTGCTTTTGGACAATTGGCAGTGGACACTTGGGGTGTACTTTGCCACTTTTCTGTCATTTGTGACATGCTTTAGAACATCCGATCAAAGACACGAAGTAGAAAGGGGCAACCATATCGCTCATTTCATTTCCAGGATTTTCCCTGTAGCGCTACCTGGAACCAATCGGATAAGTGCTTCATCCTTAAAGGTTGTCTATCGCTTGTCCATGAGAGACGCTGTCAAACTCAGAGAAGACACGACACGCGCTCGAACAAATCCGGATTGTCTTGCGCTGCGGCTGCCAAGTTGTAGCCGCCTTACAGGGATTTGGTTTGCAAGCTTACGCATGATGAAGGTCCCTCGTTCCAGCATGGTCAATTAATGTAATGCACGCAGATTGAGTGTCATTTTGTTTTGTGTGTGTGTGTGTTGTGAATGTCGTGGCATGTTTGTTGGTTGTGAGGGTTTACAAAACTATATTATATAGACTATATTATATTACAGAGTTCACGAACAAGTAATTTGGACACAGAAGCCAAACATATGCTTCTTTGTTTACCCCAGATGTGGGCCACGTTCGAAGAAGGTGTTTATTTCTAATATTAGGGTGCCCGGGCCGCAGTAGTATTGTTTGTTGTACACATTGGGTTTGCAGGCCACTTCCCGTCAACCAGGCTAGAGTTGCATCTTCTTGAAGCAGGCTTGCTCCAAGTCTGCTAGAGCCAAACCACGAGAGCAGACGCCTGGCTTGATTTCCTCTGGTTTCCTTTTGGCGTCCAAAATGTGATACCAAGCAACGCTGTAGCATCTGCCAGGCGCTTGAAAGAGGAGGCAAACAGGGACAGAAGAACTTGGGACCCCAAACCATGAGGGCCAGGGAGTTAGAATACCTCCTATGACAGGTTCATAGGCCAAACCTGAGACGGGCCGTGTTTGCAACCGTTCCTCGTGTATTTAGGTATCTTCGTGATACCACTTTGACACCACTTTATCTGTTGGTATTTACAGGGGAATCGACTCATAGGGCTTCTGATTAATGGTGGCAAATGGAATGTCATACCCATCCACAGTAGGTGGGAAGCTTTGTGTTGGGCCTGGCCCGTCCTCTCTCGTCGCAGGGTGGGGACGACGCCTGGGCAAGGGGCCCTTGGATCTCCGGATCGCGCTTTCGCTGGGTCGAGGTTTCGGCGGATTTGTGTTGTGGTCGGGATCCGTTTTTTGGCTTGTGCCATTCGTTGGTTCCTGTCCGGATTGGTTTGAGTTTGTTGGTGCTGGGTTTAATTGGTCAACACCGCTTTTGGTTTAACCTGGATGGCCCCCCTAGATGCGAAGGAACCCTCAATACAAGGGGGTCTTCTGAGTCGCCACATAAGAGGCTTTGAGGGGGTTCAGCTTATGTTTTTGGATCAGTGCGAGTTTCCCTTCCCAACTCGGCTTGGCCAGTTATGAAGCCTGACTCTGGCAATTGTCTATCGGCAAGCAGCTTCGGCTTGTGCATTTGGGGCTGTCTTTCTTTTGATGCCCTCTTGGAGGTCATTTAATATGAACACCTCAAACACGTCTCAAGCCAGAGGTTGTGCTTTTGTTGCGAAACGGCGTAACCCATATCAAACACTGCAAGTGGACCAAGCACCTTTGAACCGGTCGATCTTTGACCGATCAGATACTGGACACTGCGAAAGTGCCAACCGGTCCACGTGGCCATGATGGCTAAGAGTTGGAATCACCGCAAAAGTGGTTGGGGGACATATGAACCCTCACCTAAATGATGTTTAAGGGCCCCCCCATCCAAATGTTCAAGCCCATAGAGTCTTGACCTTTGCGAGAAGCTGACCTGACGTTTTGATTTGCGGTGATTTCCATGTTTAGTCCAGGTCCCAAAAGGTTGACCGTTGATTTCCAGGTCCGTTGGGCAACGTGACAGTTGACCAAGCAAAGTCTCGAAAGCCAACGCATCGAGGTTCACAACCTCCAGGTCTTTTGCAGCCGCTCCGGAGGCGAGTGAAGAACGGGCCGTTCTTGGCGTTCCACTCGATCCATACTGATTTTGGTGTTGTATGAGCCATAGTGACATGGGAAAATATGGTAAAACCTATGGTGGATGGTTGCGAAACTCAATTCGCAAGAAGCCATGGGATGATGTTTCCCCTTGTAAATACCAGCAAACAATAGCTAAAGTGGGGAACATGAGCGGGGTTGATCAAAAGGTTCGTACGTGGGGTGACCATTATATAGGGAAACCACCAAAAACGGTTTGACTTTCACCACATGGGAAAAGTTGCCCATGGTCATTTAAAACCCAGGAATAGTGATCAACCCCCACCACAGTAGCAGCAAGTCAATGGGTTTCGCGAGTTGCTCACAGGCTTGGCCAAAGTCACCAGACGCAGCCCGGGCTAAGCTTTAGGCAAAAATATTGGTACAAAAAGTCAGAAGTACATAGTGGTTGAGCCCGAAAGGACCTAACGTGCTTTCCATGGAACCCAAGCAGCCAGAGGCATCTTCCTATGGGAATTGCTCAGTATGTTTGCCCCCCAAAGGGTTAGGGCGCTAGGAGACCTGTTAAGGCAAACTCACGCACACTAAGGCGCGCCTTTGCTGTGACTAACTTGCGGTGGCGAAACTGTTGCCGTTTTCAGCAACTTGCGCGCAGAGGGTTCTGGCCCAGAAACTTTTGAGACCGACTCAGAGCCTTTTCCCGGCCCTCAGATAGAAACCTTTGCTTGCGACATGGGTGGTTTTATTATGTTCTTTTTTTTTTCCTACTGCCTGGATCCAGCATGTGGGCTCTTGGGCTCTTGGTTTTGCAGCTCATCTCGAAAAAAATCCCGAGGCGGCCCAAACCGGGCCGTGTCAAGCTTAGCACCTCGACACGAGCTTTTTCGCGTTCCCATCAGGCGTGCTCCGAGCCTGTAAAAGACAACACGCACCAGCGTCTTCTGGAGCAACCCTGTTTCGAGTTTCCTTTTGCTTGCTCCTTGAATGCTTGGATGCATGGGTGTGTGTGTGTGTGTGTCCTGGCGCCATTTGTGGGGTTTATATATGTTCAATGAGCAGCATGAAACCATCCAATGCGTTGAATCTCAGGGTTTGACAGCATGTGATCGTTATGTCAACCCGCCTTGTGATGCTTTCTTCGGAACAAACATTTGCTGGCCTTTTGCCGAGTTCGAGTTCGAGCCACTTGCGCGGTGGCCCTTGTGCGGCCAGGGGAAGAGAACTGAGCCAAGGGGGACCTGAGCCAAGTCCATGGTTGTGGAAAAGCAGAACTTCCATGGACATCGATCAAGTCTTGGGCAGAGGGAATCCGATTTTCCACAACCATGTTACCACGGTCCCAGAGAAGCTCTCAAAAGAGCTGGATCCTCCTCCAAAGCCATATGTTTTTTGGGTAGGCTGAATATGAAACAACAAGTGAATGGATGATCATCCGCCCTGCGACTTGAGGCGCACAATGATGAATCGTATGAAGATGTATGAAGGACATGACCATTCTGTTTCCAAATCGACCCTCCCCCTCCAGCCTTTCTGGATGCTTTCGCAAGTTGTTTTTTGTTGAGAACCGCGGCTTGGAGCGCATGTTAGGGAGTTTGAGACAATGCAAAGGTTCCTGCGGAAACTTCATGAGCATGGTCCACATTTTGGGAGTTGCACGAACGGTAGGTTCCTTCAACATGATATTCGGACTTGTCTATGGTCCATTTGCACTCGATTTCTTACAACACGCAAGGGACGACCCTTTTGTGTCACATGTCCATTCCTTGATTAGGGTTCGCTGCACATTTTGACCATGGCACAGTTGGCTTCTGTGTCAAGCTCTCCGCAAAGGCAGCAGTCAATGTCCGAAACGGGTTCAGAAGGCTCCCTTTGGGCAACCGGACCTGGGTATCCTTGCAAAGTTTATTGTAGATAGGTGTTGCAAAAGTGGCGCCTCCCTCGAGACACGGGGAGACGTGTCTCAGTCTCTGGGAGCCGGGCAAGCGCGAAACTGCGGCGAGCGCATCAAACCGTTAAGTCCCAAAAGACGAAAAGGCACTGCCGCTCTCAAGTCTGGCTGAGATAGATACGCCCAGGCCTGTTGTCGTGCTTTTCCAAAGATGGCGGGATAGCACGGGCGGGGTCCCATTTTCAGCGATGTGCGGTTTCTTTGATGTTTCAAGGGTTGTCCCGTGCAGTGAATGGGTGCGGTTCAGTTGACCCTGCTGATCTGATACCCATTTGGACATGACTTTTGGAATGGTGCAAGAGCAGGGCCAGTTGACAGGGTACCAACCTCCAGCACCTTGTTCGAAGGATTTTTCGGGGAGTCTCCTTGGATACCTTGAAGTATCTTGAAGAAACCTTGCTTGGCAATCGCGGAATGAAACCCGCGGCCGCTGGACGCAAGGTTGCTTTCCAAGTGGGTCGCCAACACCTGCAAGTGATATCCAGAACTTCAATGTCCTTCTTCCCGGCCAAGCAAGGCCATTCGCTTCTCGGGTCTTTGGAGAAATCCTGCCTTTGGACCAATTTGGACCCATCGGGGAGTGAATACTGCCCCTTTGAGATCAACCATCGCAAGAAGAGGGGGCATCATCAATTGTAGCAACTAACCTTTTAGTGAAATACCAACTGCCAACAAATTGCTTAGGGCTCCGTCAAATATCAACAACCAACAGAAAGGGTACATACGATAGAACCGACTACCAAATCACTACCACATTGAATGCAAAAAGGATGGGTCACAGGTGAAATAATGTCACAATTGACACACATTGTTGGCAACAACAACTACCAACAAAGAAGTAAACCGTAAATCCTTAGGGTCCTTTGAATTTTACTAGCGACACTAAGGGTGCCCAACAAAGGGTCACAAGGGTGAAACCAACTACCAAGTCAACGACCAAATCCATGAGTCTGAATAGAAGGTGAATTCATTATATAGAAACCGTTTTACAGTTTCTGTTAAATTTAACAGCAAATACAGAACGCCAGCGTCTTTTTTGGCTTGGAAAGGGTTTTACTTTAAAACCAACTACCAACGAGAAGGGTGGTTTTATCAGACCTTCGAGAGTTGCAGGTCTCCCCCGGCCCAGGCTCCCGAAGATTTTGAAAGGGCCGAAGCTTCAAAAGATGGCACATCCAATTTGGGGGTTCCTCAAAACCAAAAGAAAGGTGGTGTTTAAAGGAACGCCAAAAAGAAACCAACCATTTCAGAGGACCCATTCACATTTTGAGAAACACCCATTTGTGTGTGTGTGTGTGCTTTTTTGGGGGTACCGTTTTCAGGTTGGTCCAAAGGGAAGCCAATAGGAACTCAATCTTGAGCTCCCCCCTATTGGATACCTAGCTAATTGATTGGTGGGTGAATAGTAGGGGGGATGCACATGTTCCTCAGTTGTGGGATCCCTTCGAACAGGCTATTTACCACTGACTGGAAGACAGATGGACGTGAATTTCACAGGGGAACGCGCTGAAACTTGGGTAGTGGACATTGAAAAACATGTTCATGAAAGGGCCCCCAATTCCAGTAATACCTATATCCATGCAATGATTCCTGGCAAGTTGTTGCAGGCCGGGAGTCGCGGAGTCGCTTGAGGTGTTGTTTTGGCTGGGCCGTTTGGGGGACTTAGTCTTAGTCTTGCTTGCCCAAGCTCCATGCCGTGGGACCTGGGAACGTTTTGACTCCAACGTCCAGGCCCAGATCTCCCATGCTATGAAAACAGAAACAACTACGCGTGACTTGCATTGAGCTTGTACTCGGCACAGCAAGATTAGATCTGTGCACAAACGTTGCGGGAGCTTATCGATTCGGTAAAACGAGCTTCCCGCCCCTTACTGTAGCGATTCCTGAACTCCAGTCGGTGAACCACAGTCTGCTGGCAAGGAAAGACTGCCACGGGACTTTTAGATCGATGTTTGCTTGCTCTTGACTGTTGGCCATGTGGAGATTGTCGGAACATACAAAAGGGGTCTCCAAAGGGAGAGCTTCCCAGTGAGCGCAATTTCCGCTGAAGCTGATGGTTTTTTGGAATCTCAGAACTGAATCAGGTGAGTAAAACCTCCCAGTGACGCTTTTCAGCCGCCGCTTGCCGGTCAATGCTCTCAGGTGACATGGACGGGACAGTGTCAGCACATGTTGCGAGATTTGCACCGGCGAATCCCTCAGGCCGTAGCTTAAGCCGAAGCACCCAGCGCCCAAGCAGACATGAGACGGTTCCAGCGGGGGGCCGCACATAGCCCAAAGACCAACCCACAAACAGCTCAGCTTTCCGATCGCGGCGATCGGGAAGCGGTCTCTGTCCGGCAGGGGAGCCTCAGAATGAGAGTTCAGTCGCAAATGAGTTCTGCCTACATATCCTGGTTTGTTTGGAGCCATAGAGCTCCTCAACAAACAACGACAGCGGGCCACCAATTAGTTGTCTTTTGTACGATCATTAGAATACTCCTATAATCCTGTCCCCTCCCCGTCCCCCGCCCAAACTCTAAAACTCCTTGGAGGGTTTTTATTGTTAGGATCCCTGGTTTTCTGCCAGAACTGTTCCAGATTGCGCTGTGTAGTATTGGGCTCCAATTGGAAAGGGGGACCCTTTGATTTGCAAAAAAACCTGTTCAGAAGGCATTTGTCGAGTAGGAACCTTTTAAACGGAAAGCGCCCTTGCATTGTTTTAAAGGAAACCTAACTAAAAATAAGCACCCTCGTTTTCTTTCAACAAAAAGACCTTATGAGGGGAGCCTACCGCAGACCCAAAATAACAAACCCCCTTTTGCAAGGCAGCCCTTTGGTGGCCCTTAATAAGCACATTTGAGTCAGGGGAGTTTGGCTGTGTTCATCTGGTTTCCAGACAGTTTAGTGTTGGTTTTTGGACACTTTCAATTTAGTATTGGCTATCGTTTGTAAATAGTAAGAAGGGAGAGTTTGCCTGGCTAAAAAACTTGGGATGTTATGTGCTGCTTGCGGGATGCTTTCTATCCAGCGAACAACTACGCAATCTGGGCACGCGTATTGGGTTGGTCCAAGCTACTCCTGCCGCGATTGTGTGGCACAGTGTGTCTGGAATGACTCCGCAGAGTAGGTTAGGGAGAGGGTGTTCCCAACCAGAAATGAACCAGCGACACGACCGGGGTTCCCCCATTTAGAGACACACCCAAATAAGCAGTGTTCTGCACTAGCCAACGAGCCAACACGCGCAGAACCTTGCGCAAGGTTTCAAGCAGTTTTCTTTGCGGAAGCTCCGAGGAAGGTCTACTCGTCTTGCTTTCTAGCACGCACACGAATAAAGACACACGCCGACCTGCCGCAGAAGCCAAACATGTGGGTGCGGAAACAAAATCTAATCGAAGCCTGGCAACGCGCGCGCGCGGAAGACTGTGGAAGTGTGCTAAAGCAGAGCGGTCCCTGGAAGGTGCTTTTGGGCACGCGGAAGGTTTCGCGGAACATGGAATAGTGTCAATGGAAAGCAGCGGCAGTTTAGAACTCCACTAAAATGAAAATGACAGGTGTTCAATTGGCAATTCGACGGTCCGTTTTTCCATTTTCTCGCTTGCCCAAAGCCAACCTTTTGACCTTGTTGCTTCCGCTTGCTGGTCCATTTTTGGTCATGGCCCCGCCTTGCATTTCTGGGTCCTTTGGCAACTGAGCTCATGTTGGAGTTTCTCAAGTTCACATCGGAGATCTGGCTTCGAATCTAGGTATCACAGTGCATTTCTTTCGCCATGTTCGAACCCATGGTACTTAACCGCAAAGTGAACATTTGAGTGGTTATTTGGATTGAAACTACGTTTGAGGATGTATCTTTAATGTGACCCTGTGCTTACAGAATGGCTATGAGTCAGCCCTTCAAGGATCAGAACTGGTACCAGCTCCAAGAGCTTCGTCCTCGTGTCTGTTGGCATGTGTTTTTTCTGGATGCAGCGTTATTTAGTCCGGCCTGCCCATGGGGTCGCTAGATTTTATCCTGTTGGTCATTGTTAACCTCACTCTTGCCACTTTGCAGTGATCTTCTTTGGCAAGACACATATATATATATATATATATGTATAATCGAGTAGTTGAAACCTTGCCACATCTCCGGGTTTGGAATTGAAGTCAGGCAAAGGATAGACCTTGAGCCTTGAGGCTGGGTTGTTCAATATCCATCCTTAGTCGTCATTCCTGTTTGCAGTGGTGTCCCACTACGGATTACGGATGAGGAACATCGGGATCCCTCCCATTTTGGCCGACAAAAGACGCAGACAGGAGAGCTGTGCAACTAAACCCGGCAGCGCCTTCTTACCTGAGGCTTGTGTCTTCTTGGCATAGCATATTTTCTGCGTTGAACATATCTGAATGTATATACATGTGCTTGCATGCATGTATCTACAGGAGGTAGGATCTTCCTGATTACTTTATGCTTTGGGGCCCGGAATTGCTGATTTCACTGTTTCCAGTTTGGCTGGTATGTTGAACAATACCTTCTCTCCAACAATTATGAAAGCTGACAGGAAGGTTGTTGAGGCTCCATGCCCCGGTGCCTCTGCACTCGGCGCAGTCCTTTTGCTTTTAGAACGGGCTTCACGAGGAGTTCTTCCCGCCATTGAGTCCATGAATTGGCTGGAGCATCCGAGCACTCGACTGGGACAGACATTCCCCCTCCAGACGACGAAGAGCAGTGCCTTGTGGAGGATCAAACCGCGAAGGCCTTGCCCAAGGCCACAGCTCTGTGCGTGTTTGCTTTTATGAGAAACACTCCTAATCTTATATGAGAAAGACTCCTAATCTTACCTTGGCTTTTTTTTGGAAGACCATTTTAGTGGTAACCGGAAAGCTTGGGACGTTTTTCTGGCCACGGAAGTGAGCAATGGACGCGCGCGTCTCTTCCGAGGCCATGAAGAAGCTCTTCACCCTGGGGCCCCAGTACCACGGCGCCGCCGGCGGAAGTTTCCGGGGAAAGGCAGCGCAAGAAAGATGGAGATCCCATAAATGTGTTCCCCTGTATTTTTGTAGAACCCCTGGTTGATTTTTTGAGTGGGGGGGAACCCCCCTTTTAGTGGGGATGGGTTACTTTTGGAGGCAACACCCCCCTAATAATGGGACGGGTTTATAAATCCTGGGTCAACACTAGGATGCGTCATAGTTCCATATCAGCTTCACTGTGTCCGCAACATGGAACCCGCGAACCAGCCCGAAAAGGGCCCAAGAGCCGCGGTTGGGAGTGAGAAAGCCTGAAGCAGCAGGCCAAACAAGGCCCCGGATTGTAGTCCATGATGGGTGCAAGCACTGGGTTTCGACCAGGGAGAGAGTTACAAGTGCCGAAATGGAAATGCATTGGTTTCATTTTGGTTTCCCTGCCCAACGAAAGTGTGCACTCAAGCTCGCAATTGTTTTGGTTGAGGGGTCAAGTACTATGGTCCCCCTGTGCCTCAAACAACTTTGTTGGATACCCTGACCTCTGTTTGGAGAGGGTTTGGTGTGTGCCCTTGTTGGGCTTCTATCTCTAGGGAACAGGATGGTACTTCCAGAAACAAGGGCGCCCTTTTGTCCCGGCACCTGAAATGAGACTCTTTCGGAACGCAGTCAGGCCGGAGAAGGCCAAATGAGGCCAAAAACCGCCTTCCTGCAAAATTCTTGCGGCGGGGGATGGTAGAAGGGCGCAAGGGAACCCTTGTAAGTACCCGTGTTTGGTGGCTTGTTTGCTCTCAACATGTGGCGGTTTCCGAACCGATTATAAGGGCTTCTGCACTGTTTTTTCAGCCAAAAGGTTAAGCTTCTACGCAGCTATGGTCTCAATTCGTGAATGCTGGGTTTGGGGGAAAGGGCGAAGGCTTCAGGCAGGTATCTGGGATCCGGGACTGGTGGGATCAATTGGGATTATTTGCCAAGCAGTGACATGGGCCCTTTCAGCAAACCTTTGCGCCAGGTCACGGCAATGTCATTTTCGCTTGGCAGCCGCTGGATCCTTGGGGGCTCACTGGGCCAAGAACTACTCACTTGGAAAGCAACATATGTGGATGTGTACAAAACAACATGTGTATATAAGTGTATATACATGTACATGTACATGATCACTTTATATTCTGTACGGCCACTACCAAAGCCAATTGCGCGCTGTAACCTGGAGTTTCCCTGAAAACAGCGGGGTATATCCGAAATTCAGCGGGCCATGACCTCCAGGTTACTGTCACGTGTTTCCCCAAGAGCGACAGCCATGGGGTCAACTTGACCTGGCTTTGGGGCGGCTTTCGCGCAGGTTCCTGGAAGGTGACGCTGGGGATACATAATCATACACATATGTATATATATATATATGCATATATATATATGATATTACATATTATATATATACACATATTTGAGCTGTTATATATATATATATATATACTTGAGCTACGGCAGTTTTTAGCTGCATGGTTGAATGGTCGGCTGTTCCCGCCTCGTTCTCCAACCCACCTGTTTGGACTCATTGACCTTGTTTTGTAACGCTGCATGTATGGGCTTGTCCGCTCCTCGTTTTGCACCTACTTCAGTATGTTACCCAAAAAGTGTGTCCGCCCAGCCTTTACTGCAGTCTTCGGTCATGAAAGGTAGTCTCTCTCATGTGTATGGCTGTGTATATATATATATATATCCATATATATATACATATATACACATACATATTATATTGTTTGAGCTGATTTGTTTGAGGTTCGTTTCGCCCTAGCACGCAACCAAAGACCCTCCGGGACCCCAACACTGCCTTACTTCGGATGAATGCAACAAGCAGGTAGTAACTTTGCATCTTGGGCAGGAAACTACAGTATCTATAAGACGGAGAGTGTTTCTTTTTAGGACAATGTCCAAATGCAGCTGGGATCCAACTACTTATTGTGACATGATGTTGCTCCATATTTCATGGCATTCACTTTTCTTTATTCGCTATGTTGCAGCCTGGGTCGATATAGCCCAATAGTTATCCGTTTAGCAAGCGCGGTTTGCTGCCGGGGTGTTTGAGGAGTGGCAACTACGTGGCCTCCATCGGGGAAGGATCCAGGCAAAGAGCCCCGCGTCAAGTATTTTGTGTTGCAGTTGAATGTAGAAATCCGTATAAAGACATCACGCATCACCCCGACACGCGGGTGCATCGTGAGAGGGAAACCCACCCAGCTTTGTGTGTGTGCCTCCAATTTTGGAGACGTATCAGAAGTGTTTGGATTTTCCGGAAGCGATAGAGAATGGACAGGCAAACCAGAAACCAAGTGCCTAATATTTTTCACATATTTTCATATATGTACACATACTTACTTCCTGAGTTTCTGGACAAACTTCTGGGAATATCAGGAACTGTGTAAAGGAAATGACATGAGTACACTCACCAAACTACGATGATAAACAAGGCTTTACCCACCTGGCTCGCACTTTCTATAAGGTCAAAAGGTACACCCCCGACAGCACAAACCCCCTTGAACACGCTTACTTTCGGCAATGTGAAGGCTGTGCCGTATGTCATCGTACCCATGTTTGCTGCCTATCAAATGAGGCGAGCATGTTGCTGTTCTGGGTTTTTCAACATGTTGGGTTGATGGGGGGGTCGGAGGTCGCGTGAGGTGTCAAGCATGCAGGGCTGAAGAACATACGCAATATGTTTTCCTCGGTGCAGGGTCCACGATCAACACCTATTCAACCAGCTGTTTAAGTGCGACTCAGGCACGTGGCTGTCACAGCCCCCTCAATTGAATCCGGAGCAGTCGATTGGTTTAGGCCCAAACACGACGCGGTTGCCAAACCGCTTTGTGCCAGAAAGCGCTGAAGCCACGGTATATGTGATTGCTGCACTTTCGTGACCATCCACCCTCCCGCCTGAGTCTGGGCCCCAACCCAATACGTATTTTATATTAAATGGGTTGCATAATAACACCACATTTGGGTTTTGTTTAATTTTGAGGACGCCCGGTCCAGCTTAGTTTCAAGAGAATCCATTTCTTTGAAAGCCACGGTCCTATTTAGATACCATACTCAGTTGGTTTCTTTCTTTGGGCCTCCTTTCAGCGGCCACTTTGCTGGTTGCCAGGAATCTCTTCCTCTTCGACCGGCGGGGCGTTGGCGGCCCAGAATGCAAGTTGCGAAGGACGTGTCCCAGTGCGAGCGCTTGACCCTGGGCGTGTGAGACTCGTTGACGCAAAGCCCGCAGTGGGTTTTTGCCCTTGACACGCCGTCCAGCTTTTCCACTCGAAAGCATTACCAATATTTGAATTTTCCGAATGGCCATTACTGACTGAAAGCGGCATGGTTCCTTTTTCCACAAAGGGTCACTTGGCAGCCATCTCAAACAAGAAGCAACCCACACCCGAGGTGTCTCCCGCCTTTGACCTGAAACACACCATAGGCCAGCAAGGTTCAGGGGTTGCAAGCGTTGGCTGTGCTTGCAATCAAGCGCACTGATTCCAACAATGTTAAAGTTGGAGGGCTCAGGGTATCTCATCCCCCCAGAAAGCCCAGCGCTGCTGTCTACCCCGAAATATATTTGTCCGGGCCACTGAAACGCGTCCGAGGTGCAAGTGGAGGAGGTCTCCTTGAAGTCCACGGGCAAGGTGAGACAGGGCGCACGGCGTTCAATTGTCGGCAGGAAGAGGACTTGCACGATCGTGGGATGGTTTGTCTATGAATGGGGTTATAAACCCAGACCCCGTTGAACGCTGGTTTATAACCCCACTATTTGAGGCGGCAAAGTGTTTCAATTCCTGGATGACCTACGACCAGTTTGGTTCCTATGGTTGTTATCCTTCGGGCCCGCTTGCCTCGTGAGGATGTACTTACTGGTGCGAGGTTTTGTCCATCCACAGGTATCCCAACGAACAGGGTTTCTCAAAATTGAGCCCCTTGTGGCCGGTAGCTGAAAGGAAACCAAAAGAACACCACATGTTTTGGGGAACCATTCAAGACACACCCATATCATGTCCTACTTCTGAACCCACGTTGGCTCCGATTGAAACTGATCGAATCGATGGCACAAGTGACAAAATGACAACCTTGGAACCCTACTCCCCCCCCCCCCCCCCAGAGCTGGAGGCCTTGTCCTTGTCCTTAATTGTCGGGGGTCTGCGGGGGTGGTTTTGTAGTCCGGTGGGTTGTAGTTTGTGCACATTGCTGCAGTTTGTTTGTTGCTGGGTGTGTTGTGTGCACTTGCAGACATCAATAATTTTGGGGCTTTTGCAGGGAGGTCAGGGAGATTTTAATCGCTCTGTCAGCACTAGCATGGGGGTTACTTCCCGTCGTTCCTTCCCACAGATCGGTATGCTTGTCGTACAGGGGTGTTTCTACGATATGGGGCCCTCTTTTTGGTTGGTTTTGAAGGAAAGCAACGAGGACGCAACCATTGTTAATTTTGTGTCCCTATTTGCTACACATTCTGGCGCTTGCTTGCCCAGCTCACAATCAGTCCTCTGGATCTCTGGATCGGCCTCCGCTTTTTCACACACCAACGCGGCTCAACTGTTTGTTACCCGAATGAATAAATCGTTCAAATCGAGGTGGCTTGGGCAAAGGAGATCCCGCACGCCCCAAAAGTGTTCAAGTACCAGCTTACTAAGTATGAACTTGAGGTGAATCTGAATGGGTCAAAGCACATCCTCAAAAGACCAGTGAGGCTCTAGTGGAGTCCACATGGGTCAAAGTGCATCCTGAAACGACAGACTTGGAGCCTTAGGGCCCACCATTTGGCAACCAAACATTTGCCAACACCACTTCAAGCTTGAATGATCTGGAAGCTGACCTTCGCCTAGGGTCGCCTACACCCGGTTTTGAAAGGCTTAGGGTTCACGCCAAAGATCCCCAAGAACATTGGACCTGGGGCCTTGAATTTAGTCACTTGCGCCTGGCTCTGACTGAGCAACCCTGTTCATGGCTGTGGACAATTAGGACCAAACTTGGTGAAACCAAGGCTTTGAAGCCTGCTTGAAGGAACAAAGTAGCCAAACAAATGACACATGTTGATATCACAGATTTCGGGTGACGGTCCACCATGGTCCAAGTACCTGAATTAGGGTTCCCCCCCAAAGCCATCTTCAAGGGACCCTTTGTTCAAAAGGTCACCCCAGACAACCATAGGCGTCCTGCTGGCCAGGTCACCCAGTTGGAGTGGGACAAGGTCGGCGCTAGTGAAGCGGACCTGGCGCGAACGTGCTTAATGGGATCCATGCCCTACCCCTGGTTTTCCGAAGGCCGTAATACTGTGGATGAACGAAATCCTGCACCGCTCTGACACCATGGGAAATCAGTATTTGTTTGGCATTTACAGGGGAATCATCATTCCAGGGTTTAGGTGGTGCAGGATTTCCTCCATCCACAGTAAGGCTCTTGCTTTGTGGAAACAGGAGGGGGGGTAGGGGAGCGGGGCCTTCAAACCGAGCATGGCTGTCACCAGCCATGACCAGGCAGATACCCATATGGGTGTGTCTCCGAATGGGGGAGCCTCCGAAAGGCTAGGGGAAGGAACACCCATTGGTTGGGTTTGTTGACTCGACCCCCTTCAGTGGTTGATAACTCATATGACATTGGTCCCTTCTGTTTGTCATGTTTTCACGCGACCGTTTTGTGGTTTTAGCGTTGGGTCCGACAAACCATCATCGACTGTCGGGAATGCTTTCTGGGGCCAAAGTCAGAAACTGGGGTGGTGTCCCTTTAACCTACCACTTGCGGGTGACTTTGATACCGTAGCAGAATAATGGGGCCAATGTTGGGAGGCGTTGGG